CTGTAGCTTCTCCAGAGTTACCATGGGCCTCTTGGCTGCTTTTTCTATTGACTCTTTACCAGGCCTCTCAGCTTAGGTGGATAGCTGTGTCAAATTCGGTTTGTACTTTCTCTTTAGATGGTAAATGGTTGGGATATTGTTTCATTACCTTGGTGTCTGTTATTTCTTCAAAAGTTTATCTAAGCTATGTGCTCCATTGGTCTTCATGATGCCGTTTGTTCATTAATGTTTTCTAACAAATCTCTGCCTTCTTAGCGCAGCTGTGTTTATAATGGCATTAAGTATCACTTTAACTCTTAAGACATGGAAGTGGCTGTTTGTATTGCAACAAATTGTTCAGTGGTGTTAATGTATTGGCACATTGAGAAATTTTGACATGCTTGTCTGCTTTCAGATCTTTGACATTTAATTCTTGTTTAATGTTTTCCTGCCTTTATATTTTCACTTTGCTGTGGAATATCCCTAATAATCAGCTGATTTCTTTTTTCTGGCCTCACCTCATCTCTCTGTCAATTCCAGATGTCAGTCAGGTGTTCCATCAGTTAACATAAGTGATGTCACCACCAATGAAAGGGACCTGATTAACACTCAGCGGGGGAAAAGAACTGCTCCTAAGCCTCCTGGAAGGAATCAGCCGCAAAGACAGAGACGGGAGGAGGAAGACATGTCGTCTACACATCTGTCACAAATGAACAAGCAGAGTAAAGACAAAAACGTCAAAACTGTCAGTGTTGCTCCACAGCGTTCTGTGCAGATAATTGCTCCACTAAACAGACCTTCCAAAGATTTGAACAACCTGAGCCAGACGGAAAAAGACTTCACCAAAGAGGAGACGACCAAAAACGGCAAACGTCCTGCTCCATCAATACCGTGCACTGCTAAAGATGAGCCTCACAGAGGTGTGTTGGAGATAAAAAAAGACAGAGCAGTTTATGGATTGAACCCATTCGAAGATGATGATGATGACACTGAGCTCACAGCTTTTGATGAAACAACAAACTCTGGCAAAACTGACCCAGTATGCTGGCCTCCTGTCAAACAGGAAACTGACAAAGACGATGCCAAAATCAAATCTTCAAAGATGGCTCGTGCCCCCCTACCGCCCCCTCTGAATGAGACCCCCTCAAACTCAATAATCTGTCAAAACCGTGATGAAGACGGAGGGTCAGATGCCATTAGAGCAATTGTTCCAAATAAGACATGCAACCCACAGAAAGAGGCCACCAGTCATGTGCAGGTGAAAGAGTCTCCAAACAGAGAGTCCAAGCAGATTGGGACTGTGGCAGCTATAAAGGAGGAGGGACCTCCTGCAGCTTCACGCAGGTACAGTAGACCTGTTAGTCCTGAATGGTGCTCATTATTTCTACATCATGTAACAAAAGTATCATTGTTTGCATTCTGCTCCTCCGACCTTACCATCAGCGTCATGGCCTTGGGATTTTATTTAACTAGAGATTTTATTTAGCATGTGCTGGGCTGGGGATTACAGCTGATTAGAAAACTTATGGAATAAAAAACATGAAACTCTGTTGAATGCTACAGAAGACTTAAGACTGAGATGATGGTTTAGCTTTCAGTAGACCTAGGACCTGTTAATGTGCAGACTTGAAACCAAATTGGAATTTTTGACATTATTAGAAATTGATATTTAAAATCCATACAGTCTGTTGAATCTTTAGCTTTTAGGCAAAAAAGAGCAAACAATCTTTAGATCTAAAAGCTAATATAGTGGTTCGTGGTTGGGTCGTTGCGCTTAGAATCCAGAGGTTCTGAATTCAAGACCTACTCCCTCAGACTGCCACTTTGGGTCCCCTTAACCCCATACTGCTCCCTGGGCACCACATAATGGCAGCCCACTGCTCCCCAAGGGGATAGGTTAAATGCAGAGAGTATGTTGCTCTGTACTTGTTACAGAGTAATGACAATAAAAGCTAGGGGGGGAAAAAAGACACCTATACTTGCATCTAAGGTTTGCATGCAATTTATCTAACTTGGACCCAATGCAAAATAAATGTATAGATAAAGTTATAAAATTCACTCCCTGCATTAACCCCCAAATGCATGCCATACTCATCAATCTTTTATTTGCATTTAGTTCAGTAACCACATAAAATTTTGCCTCACAGGTAATAACTGTGTTGGTCTGTAACATTAAATCCCAAAAGTTGCACTGATACCGGTGTTTGTAGTAGTACAAATTAGGAAAAAATTTAAGGGATTTGTATAGTTTTGCTTTATACAACACAACAACCTTCCAGTAAGTTAGAATTTTTTTTCTCCCCACCAAATCATACATTAAATGTTCCTCAGCTTTAGTTCTCTTGTTTATCTGACATTCCTATGTATTTTTCATTCTCAAACCTTTTGTTCTTGCAGACTTCAGCCTGTAAAACCCCTTAATCCTCTGGAGCAGCAGTCTGACTCTGTTGTTAAAGTTGGAAATGAGAACAGAGCCACAGGATTAGACTGTAATGGAGTTCAGCACAAAACAAACGTATGCATTTTCAAATTAAACTAAACGTTTGATACCAATTCAAAGATGGCTGAGACGTTTTATTATAATCTGATTACTTCCTTTCCACCCACAGGTTGGCACAGAGAGATCAGGACCGTACTCCCAGCTGACTCGTGAGGAACTAATTGCCTTGTTGTTGAAACAGGAGAGCCAGCTCTCTGAGAGGGATAAAAAGATATCCGAGCTGGAGCAGTACATTGACAACTTACTGGTGCGGGTCATTGAGGAGAAGCCAAGTATTCTAATGTCCTTGAGCTCTTTAAAGAAGGCTGCCTAAGTGGATTTACAGCTGACACTTTCAATCAGATCAGACCTCTGTGGTCCGACTTTATTCACTTCACTTCTAAATGAAAAAACTAGGCTTTCAAAGGTGGTTCGAGTTCATCACTGAATACTGGATCTTTTGATCAACAGACTGTGAGGTGGGATAGACTTCAAAGATAATTTATCGAGGAGATGAAATCAAAAAGCAGAGGTGAATTAATGCTATGACTGTTGCAGTTTCAGATAAACCATTTTATGTGTTTTTTTCTTTGTCATGTCTGTAAAAATCAAGTTACACATTTCTATATGTGATTCTCTGCAAGGACGTTTGATTGTTTTCATGTAGAGCATTAAAGTAAAACATCAGACATGTTATATTGTCTGGTTAAAACAAAACAGTTTTTTTTCTCTTGCCTGGTCATAAAAAAAAGCCTTACATTTGATACTCTTTTCTGGAATTATATTTTTTATTTTTGTTGTCCTGAATGTTAAATGTTTGTATGCTTCTGCAAATCAAGAGCACTTTATTATTAATTTTGTGAACGGTAATTAAACACTGTAAAAATTTAACCTTTCTTTGGCTCACTGAATTGTTTTCTTTATATTTGCATAATAAAAATATACAAAATGTTTTTGTTTTGTTTTGTTATCCGAGGCCATAGTCTTATCAAAATAGTAGGTTTTTAATTACAGAATCTGCATCACAATACTTACCATTATCAAGCAGACCAGAAATGCTCCTTGGCCATTTAATTCTTCAGTACTTGTAGGTATTTTACAATTATAGAATTTAGCATTAAAAAAAAAAAAAACTAGCAATCATAGCAATTTGAAAGGCAACAAAGATCAGAAGAGATAACAGAGTCGTGCTGCAGGAACTATTTATGTAAAATATATATATACAGTATATATATACTGTATATCACCGCTTCAGTAATGTGCTGACATTTACAGGCAATATGTAATTGATTGAAAAAAGCACTTTTCATCACATGCACCTACAGCATGTTACATTGAATTCAATGAAACTTGCAAAACAGGAAAAAGCTATTTAGGTATTGATGCTTTTTTTTTATAGTTGATATTTCTGCATGCCTCTCGTTCATGTCATGCAATTCTTTTAAAATGGTTTTAATTATCGGATCTAAACATAAGTTTTTGTGTTGTGCATTCATTTTAACATTGCATTGACTGAAATGCTTGTGACATTAGTGGGAAAGCTGAATGCAGGTTCATACAAGTTTGAAGTTTGCTATAAATACAACCTTACACCTTTTTCAAGAAATTAATAATGAAAGTCTGATTTTAAACTTGTTTCTTAAATACAATGGCATGTTTAGTTTTCAATTATTTAACAGTGATAGTGTCATTGAGATTAAAAACCTCTTTTTCAAAGGAGTCCTTGAACAAATAAAACACAAGTTACATAGTTAAAAGAAGTCTGAAAAACAGATGCATGTTATTGAGGATTCAATGATATGTTATTTCAAGGTTTTCTGAAGAAGGCAGGAGGAAGGAGCTGAGTAAACGGAAGCCTTTTTTCTGAATTTAATCTACCGTAAGCCAAAGGTACAAAAATAAGCAGGAAGTGTGTGTGAGAGAAATATCTACAAGTTAACACTTCTCTGTGCAGTTATAGTAAAGATCTAGACTGATAGTAGTCCAAGCAATGCCTTGTATATAGAAGTTAACCAATGGGAATTATTTTAAGCAGCCAAACTAGGTCAACCCATCCACGACCATAAGGGTGTGATTACTTTTTTTTGTTTTTAATAAACCTCAGACTAGAGATATAAACACTGTTCTTTAAAAGGGAGTTCCTGCTGAAGTCAAAGGCTAAATAATCTGCTTATTGTTAGAGAAAACAAAGACTCTAAATACATCGGTTAGAGACAGCTGTTATCTAAAGAAGCTTCACACATCATTTCAACACTGAATGACTTTTTATCCACGTGTTTTATCCATATATTATACTGATACGGATCTCTCTCTCTCTCTCTCTCTCTCTCTCTCTCTCTCTCTCTCTCTNTACTGATACGGATCTCTCTCTCTCTCTCTCTCTCTCTCTCTCTCTCTCTCTCTCTCTGTCTCTCTCTCTCTCTCTCTCTCTATTTTATATATATATATATATATATATATATATATATATATATATATATATGCTTATAAAGCATTATTTTTTAACTTCATACCTCTTTTTTTTAGCAACTTCAAACATCTCTGTACTTTAACAACAAGAAAAAAACAATCACAACTACATAATTATATTACAACTCACCTGTCCAATCACCCTCGCCAAAATGGTGCAGATTTCGGATATGTAGTCCTTTTACTTATTTAGTTCACTGATTAGTAAACATTTTAAAAACTTAAATTATTTTCCATTTTAGACCACATAAAGTAACTGCTTAGGTTATTTGTCGAACAACTAGTTACTTATATCGTACAATATCCATTGTTCCTTTTTATAGGGGCCGAGCTAGATGAGGGGCCAGGGGTGGCCATGGGCACCCTTAGCCAATCATTAGCCACCCCTACCATTTATTTCCCTCTAATACAGATGGTGGCAACAGTAATAATCTCAAGTGGAATATTCAAAACATTTAAATTTTTCATATATAAGCAATTAGTTGACAACAAAAACACTGTGGTTAATTATGCACATCAATATACTAGCATTAAAAATTATAAGTACAGAATTCAAGCAGAAATAGATTTTGTGTTTTATGGGGTAAAGAGAAAATGATGTGTCTCTGCAAGTGTTTTAGGAGTCTTCAGTGAAATCATAGATAAATAACTATTTCAATAAAAACTTATCAAATAATCAATTTATGTAGATATTAGTGCTTGTAACTATTAATTTTATGCAGAATGATTATTAATAAAAGTAGGTAAGTAATGACAATGGAAAAGATGTTTGCCCAAAAAAAACCTGAAATGATTTTATCTACTATACATTTTATTTAGAATGCAGGGATGTTTGAATATATGCATCTATTTGTTAGCAAAGGCTGTAGGAAAGTATAGTTTGTCTTTATTTAGAAAATATGGATGTTTTGCTGGTTAATTTTCCTTTTGGAACAGTGTAGATTTACCGTGAGGTTCTGGCACCTATCCACTTTCTGCCATCCCTCAGTGTACATTGGTTATTGCCTGGCCACCCTTATAAAACATTTCTGGCTACGCCTCTGCCTATTTTTGAAAAGTACGTGTAACTATTTACACTTTTAAGTTTTAAGCATCCATCTGAATGTGCAAAATATCCATTTAGATTAATTAAATATCCCAATAAATACTGATTAATAAAATAACATATTCTCAGCGAACAACCAAATATAATTATATGCATTTTAAAATGCATTAGTGATAATGCTAAAGATTGCGCGCGATAAAGGTAAGGCAAGGCAAGGCAAGGCAAATTTATTTGTATAGCACAATTCAGTACAAAGACAATATAAAGTGCTTTACATGATTAAAATACAGGAAGATAAAACAGAATCAAAGCAAGTAGGAAAAAAATTAAGAAATAAAAAAATAAATAAATAAAAGAAAATAAAAAAATGCAGAAACAACAAAAGAATATTTTAAGAACAGTTGGAAGTTTTTGTTAGATTACATTTATTTATTTGATGATTTTTTTTTATAGGTATGGAAAGGTATGGAAAGTTCTAAAAAATTTAATTCAGAATACTTTTAATTTCTTTTTCGCGTTTATTATCTCTGCATTCTACGGCTTCAGTGACTTTATTGATTATATTGTTTCTTTTTGCTACATTCCAACATAATATCCTTTGGAAAGAAAAATTAGTTTATTCTAAACCTCGGAATGGTCATATACGCGTCTTATTCTAAGCGGAACCTTTTATTAGACATGCTTGTATCTACCCGGGGACATCTAAACTCCCCACAAGTGGCGTTTGTTGTACGTTATTTAAGCGCTTGAGTAATGTCTGTCAGCTTAAACCAGTGGTTGCTTTTTGATATCAAAGAAAATGTCTAAAGCGGGTTTAAAGTGTCCGAACTGCGGCTCCTCCAACATCGTGAACGATGACCTGTACTCACAGGCGCAGCTGGTTTGTGTGGAATGTGGCGCGGTGGTTTCTGAGGGGAGTTTGGCTGATGACCCTCTGTGGGGTACAGGTAGGAAGAGGACACTTTCTTCAAAATCCTATTAGTTTCACAGTTAAAACAAGTAAATCTGAGGGAAAGAGTATTATTAAAGAAAAATTCATGGACAAATGGCACAAAAAAAAACAAAAACAAGGGGATGACGGAAAAACCAGGAAGATTGTTTTAAAAAAATTCAGAAGATAGTAGGAAAAAGAAGAAATGGAAAACGAAATAGAAAGGAGGAGAGAATGATATCAAGGTTAAGATTCGGGCAAACAGCACATAATTATACACTTTTCAACATTCAAAAACATACTACTGGCAAATGTGATTACTGTGGAAAATATGAAACAATAGAACATGTCATACTGGAATGTCAAATGTATATGAAAACGAGAGAAGATCAATGAGAAAGTTTGAATTTATTAGTTAAAGGATTAATTTAGTAGATATTTTGAGGAAGAGTTAAGGGAGTAAACTTATACAAATAATTATTCGATTTTTAAAGAAAACTAAATTATTTCATAGAATTTGATTATAGAGAGGGTGAATGTGTGTATAATATAGTATGTAGTTTTTTTGTTTGTTTTTTGGGTGTTTTGTTTTTGTTTTTTGTTGTCTTTTGTTTGTTTATTAGGAGTGTAAATAATAATGGGTTTTGTGTCGATGCTTCGATCCAACAGCCGACAATCCAATACATCGACACGTCTACAAGAGTATCGATTCATGTTTTTTTTTCGTAATTTTTTTTATCCATTTGCTCCTGGACGTAATTGTGACTCCCGTGCTGAGGTGGCGCTAACCCTATTTTGCCCTCCTACCTCACTTCCTTTAGCCACTACCCTCTTTCCGCATGCACACACGGTCGCATAAACAGTTTAAACATGATGTATTCTTGAGTATCGAAAATAATCAAATCGTTAGGTCAGGAAATCGATACTGAATCAAATCACCATGATGGGTGGGATTTACACCCCTAATGTTTATATATAAGAAGATAGTCCATCACGAACCACACTCCATAAGAGTAAGTGGCGGTAATGCTACTAAATGTTTGTTGCCAACCGCCAATAAATCCAAGAAGAAGAAGAGGAAACTTTCACCACTGATTGATCTGCCCGGCTTTTCACTTTATTCTGATCTCAGACAACCTAAGGTTACCATTAATGGACCAACATTACCTGAATGCATCTATCGAGAGGCCTAATTTGCAGTTGCGTCCTGCACATTAATTAACATCACAATAATTCAGATAAAGGCTGGAAAATAATCCTCATAGAGAGCAGGAACAGTCTGCTACCCTAGTTTCAT